CAAAGAAAAGCCTAAATTACAAAAAGAAAACCCCAAAGAACACAAAGCAATCCCCAAAAACACAAAGCAAACCCTAAATTACAAAAAGAAAACCCCAAAGAACACAAAGAAAACATAAATTACAAAAAGAAAACCCCAAAGAACACAAAGCAAAACCTAAATTACAAAAAGAAAACCTCAAAAACACAAAGAAAAGCCTAAATTACAAAAAAAAATATCCCAAAGAAAACCCCCAAAAAGCGCAATGGGACCTCTGCAAAGTCGAGTTCTGACAGCTAGAGGCCGGATTTAGATTTTAATCCATCCTTTATCAGATCTCTAATTAAAAAGTGACGCGGCGACGGTGGAGCTCTGATGGAATAATTAAACCCCCCAATGAAACACCTCCCTGTTGCTGTAATTAAACCCGTTTGTGAGTCTGTGTGAGGATGAGCAGCAGGTGTGTGACATGTATTCATTCACTGAGAGGAAGGAAACGAACCTCCGGCTCCTCAGACCTCCAGAGGCGCCCCCCCCGGGCCCCCTCATCTCCGATGGCCCTTCTTCTTGTTCCTGGCGGGCGTTTTGATTGGCTGGCTGGCGCCGCCGTTCTCCAGCGAGTTCTGAGGCGGTGCGGCCGCCGCCGGCGGGGGGGAGAAGGGCTCCGGCTCACCGTCCAGGCAGGTCTTAAAGGGTCCGGCCGGAGAAAACTTCAGGGGACTACGAGAAGAAACAGAGAAGTTACAGCGAATGAGAGGAAACGACCTGGATGGGATTAAAAAAAAGAGGAGAAATGGACAATTTGGGAAAATCCAAACTCAGAAAAGCCACAAACCTCAAATCCTTGATGGAAAAATGAGGCTGTTAGCTCACATTTTTAAAACCACTGTGTTAAAAAAACAACTAAATAAAAGCATTTCTTATTTTTAATGAAAAACTAAAACAATAAAATGAAAAGTGTTTTTTATTATTCACAACTAACTGAAAAACAAGAAATAAATAAAATAAATTGCATTTTTATTGTTTAAATCTAAATGAAAGAAAATCCAATAAAAAAAAGATAAAATTAGAATAAAGAATTCTAACCAAAAATTTGAAAAATGATAAAAGAAAAATTCAAAGCTAAATAATTCCATTTAGATGTTTTTTAAGGTCACATTTGTGGGTTTTTAGAGTCATAAATAATCATTTACAACATTTTATCATTCTTATTTGATGATTTGTGTGTCTCAGATATATAAATGAATAGTGTTTTTTTATTATTCACAACTAACTGAAAAACAAAAAAATAAATAAAATAAATTGCATTTTTATTATTTAAATCTAAACGAAAGAAAATCCAATAAAAAAAAGATAAAATTAGAATAAAGAATTCTAACCAAAAATTAGAAAAATGATAAAAGAAAAATTCAAAGCTAAATAATTCCATTTAGATGTTTTTTAAGGTCACATTTGTGGGTTTTTAGTGTCAAAAATTATCATTAACGACATTTTATCATTCTGATTTGCTGATTTGTGTGTCTCAGACATATAAATAAATATTTAGTGAGTATGAACAGACCTGATGGGCGTGCGGGGGCTGCTGTTGTGGCGGCGGGCGGGGCGTGAGCGGGGCTCGAAGGAGAAGCCCTCCTTCAGACTCTCCAGCACGGACGGGGCCACGTAGGTGAAGCCCTGCGGGGAGACAGGACAGTGAGCGGGC